TGAACAAACTGCTGTGTTCAGATGCTGCAGGTTCTTAAAAAGGACTTGGTTTCCCACCCCTCCCTGGAGCCTGTGGAGGAGAAGCAGACCCACTACAGGCTCTGGGAAAGGGCATCATTGTCACTTTGGTGGGACAGAGGCTTCTGCAGGGAGCCCTGCCTGTGGCTTTTGAGTGCAGACTGAAACTCCTGAGGACAGATGCCTCAAGCTTCCCTGCTCTTTGCAGTTCTCAGACCAGGGAGAGAAGGAGGGAAGTCAAGGCAATGCTTGGACCCCAAAACACGGCAATGCCTGGATGAGGGTGCAATCTGCTTCACAGACCAGACCCATAAAATAGGGAGGCCCAGTGTTGCTTAATGTCACAAGATGACTATGTAGAACCATTTTTCAAGTTGCCTGGGAAAAGCTGACAGACACAATATAAATGGGTCACAGAATAATTTTCCATGACTTCCTATCAAATGGGAGTCAAGACATTGTCAAATACCTTCAGTGTAGAAACAGTGTAAGCATGCTGCTGGCAAATAAGCCAGTAGAAACAAGTAGATGTGAACTTGGCTAAGGCCTGGGCATCCCAGTCATACATTCCCTAAATTACAAAGCGCCTAAGTTGGCTTTTTGGGAATACTTCCAGGATCCACTCAAGGACAGTTTGAAACCAGCTTTTCAAGAATGCACACACACAGAAGCAGCCCGCTTGCCTGGTCAATGACTTCTGGACATCATAAGCTCAAAGGCTCTGGTGCAGAGCACTGTAACATCCCTGACAAGGACTATGAGACTTGAGAAGAGGTGAGATGATTGTCTGCACCTACACAAGGGACCTGACTACAGACCAGATGTAGTTTCATGGCACAGGGCCTGCTTGACACACACAAGGCTCTGAATTGGATCCCTAGTACTGCCCTCCCCCAAATTCAGCTTCCCTTCTTGGCATCCAATCAACAGGCAACATCACCCCTCTTACTTCCTACAAATTCTCCCTCTGCTGCCAACCAGTGACACAACAGATTTGAGTTTTTCTCTTTTTTCTCCTAATTCCTTGATGTCCAGCCCTCTCTAACAATTTATTTTTCTTTTTTGCCAAAGTCCAGCACCTCAATACTGGCTTCTTTAAACATTGGACCATGAGCCCTTGCTTAGTATGGTATAAGATTGTAAAACCTTTTAAAGTAGCTGAGCTTACTGGTGTACACCTGTAACCCCAGCAGAGGCAGGAGGACTGCCTTGGCTGGGGTCAACCTGGGCTGCAGAATGAGCTCAAGGCCAGCCTGCACTGCATAGACCCTGTCTCAAAACAAACACAACAGACAAAAAGTAATTGTTTCCCAAGCAAAGTAACAGTTTTAAATGAAAGTGGATGTGTCAGGGCCTGAAGTCTCACAGGGTGAGGGCATCCAACACTTTTCACCTTTATAAAACAGTACTTTCGAGGGCCAGAAGTTCTATTTTGAAACAACTGGGTCATGGTTAGAATTTCTATGCCTCTGGAAAGACCTGGTCCTTCAGAAGAGCTGCAGCATAATAGCACTTTAACTGAAGCTAAGGTCATCCTACCAAATTCTTGCTTCTGGGGGACCAACTCCAGGAGGTTGTATGCCTAGGACATTGATTTGGGGCAGGAAAATTCACTTCATTTCAATGCACCTGCCTATTTTTTCTTATCCATCAAGTAGGAAGATTCCTAGCACCTTGTTGCCCAAGAAGTGATGAGGGTAACAGTCAACTGTAATGAATGAGCCTGGAAGGAAATTTGCAAATGTGCTGTCAAAATGCTCAAGCCTAGGACAGATTTCCCTCGGTGTGAAGTTTCCCCAAGTCAGAGAGCAATTTGTGCAGCCTGTCAGTGCAGAAATGACTCAGGCTGGAGCCCTGGGTGGTCTCCTTGCTTTCCCTGCATGCTTTTTTGAATAGTGTCACCGTTAGGATTGATTTATGGCACTTGGATTGGCCGGCAAGCCTATGCGGTGAGCTGGCTGAGGATGGGAACCCCCTTGCTCGGGTCTGCATCTGTCATCTGCAAAAGCAATATCATTTGCAAAGTCAGAACCATTCGGGGCGCACTGAGGGTGCCTGTGGGAGCGCGCAGGATGAGTACTGCATCCGAACTCACTTTCCTGCCTGCTCACGTGACAAATCGTGTGGTACAGTGATGAAGAGAAATGAAGACAGCCTGGGCCCCTCTGCGCAATTCTGCTTAATTTCCCAGAAGCAAGCACAAGTAATGTAGGTTGGAAGCAAAGAGTTGTCGAGGGTGACAGATGAAGAGGCAGTGAGGGTTTCATGTTTTGTAGGTGGGGGGAGGGCAAAGAATGCAGAGTTTGGTTTTCTTTTTTTTTCCCCTGAAAGTAGGCAGGAACAAAAAGACATTGCATAGGCTAGAAACTTTCCCTTCTCTAAGCCAAGGCTTGAAGCCCTGAAAGGTGTTTTATGCTAACAAAATGCTGCATAACGGGGCTTCAGAGTGCTGAGGGAATTGATAAAGGAAACCTGGACTGCCCTGCTGTGCTGAGCACCCCTCCTGTGCAGGGCAGGACCAGGCAGCTAATACAGTACAGAGCTCATGAGCAGGGGAACCCCGGCTGCATGGGCTCCAGCTGCCGAGGTCTCCAAAACCATGAAATGTGATGTAGTTTGATCCTGCCACCAACTGGCTGGGCAGATTGAGTAAATCTTTGTCTTACCTTTCTGTGTCCTCAAAAGGTACAGTTCCAGTTGATGAATCACCTTGCAAATGTGATTTGCAGACATCAAATACTGAATATCTGTGAGGCTGAGGCTCTGAGAAAATGTGAGAGCTGAAGTCTTTCAAAGCTTATCTATGGTGACAGGCAAGTGTTCTGGCCAGTAGGCACTGTGGGAGGATGGAACTGGATGCATGGCGAAGCCCCTGGGCCTCCTGGAAGGGAGGAATGGACCACCCAGCAGGCTCTTGGGAGGGAGGTTAGGCAGGGCAAGGGCAGCTTATGAGAGCCTATGCCCTTGGTCCAACAGCTCAACCAAGCCAGCTCCTGTGGGTGGGGGAATAACTCCACCAACTGTGTGCAGATACAGTGCTGTGCCTGTGGAAGCCAGTAACCCTTTGCTCAGCATTCACTCTGTGCCAGAACAGACGGTACAGGGCTCCTGGACTTGGGCATCAGATGTCCACGGGGGCCCAGTGAGCAGCTCCCATTCTGCCATTCCTCCTGCAAGGGCGGGCAGCTGGTTGTTAGGACTCACTCATGTTCGAATGTATTTACTTTAACCAGAGAACTTGAGCCAGTAATGCAAATAATTCTTAATGTTTCCCTGTTTCTTACTAGTAAAACCCAACTCTAATAAAAAAAAAAACAGGGTACTTTATATAAATTAAAATAATTTGACATGCTTACATTCATTCAACCGGCCCACCATCAGGTTAACAAATATTTATTGAATTCACAAAGGCATGTTATTCCTTAAGAAACACAGGTGATATGCAACTAAAAGACACAAAGACACATTCTAAGGTGGCATCCTGAATTTCGATATGTTTCATGTTATCGCCTTCATAGACATGAACCTTATTGTGTGGAAACTGCCCAGGTCAGCAGCTCTTTATTCCCTTCCTAAGGTCTCTCACTTCGACAGCCCCACTGCAGACCAATCTTTTGTTCTTTGGCTATTTTGAAGTCACAGGTTGAGTTCATTTAAAATCAGAATTCACAGAAAATGAAACTTTCCCCTTGAAAATTTTCTCACGGAAAACAGTCTTTATATGGATGGGGAAACTAATTTTGGGTTTATCCAATTAGGATTCCAAATTTCCAGCACTAACACTGATAGGATTATAATCACCATGTAAGCACCTAAAGTCAATCTGGTAATGTCTCCTGTTGGAAAATAAACTAAACAGGCTTTCATTTTTTGTTGTTTTCTTTTGGGGGTGGGGCAGGTGTTTGGCACCAATCTAGCACAGCGGAAAGGACTCAAGCATACATCCTGAATCTCAGTTGTAGAATAAACTGCTTGACTTACCTTTTTCTTCGCATGTTAGAACAGGATTTTTATAGATTACAAAAAGATTCCTGATATTTAGTTCATCCTAGTGACCACTCTGTAAGTTATTATTTGCATTTAAGTAGCTGAGGATAGAGTCAGGGGGGAGGTTCCTTCAGGTTTCCATTACTGGTTTTTGATCACAGTGCTTTAAAGCCTAGAACACAAACTTTCACACGTCTTATAGCGTTCTGAATCTTATTTCCCTGCAATGTTGATATGATAGGCAGCTATACCCCTCATTTACAATGACTCAAGGTTCATACAGCTCCGATGAGGCACAGTGGGGCCTGGACAGCTTGTGGAGCACCTACTACATTGTCCATGGGAACTCTGAGCTGGATGATGGTGGTGAGGAGCAGTTAAAATGGTCATTCATGGGCACAGATGGTATGGCAAGATCTTGGCTATGCTAGACACAGATGCAGCTCTATTTCATCATCTTGGGGTGATAACAGAGGGAAAGGATATGTATATGTAACAAACATTTTCTGGGATGTTGCATGGTGATTCCCCAAACTTAATGAGCTCTCCTATGTAAGGATGCCAGATAACACATGGTATCCATGCAATACTGGAGGTTACACTAAAAATGTTTGTGTTTATCAGAAGTTCAAATGCATCTGAGTACTTGGTATCTTTATCAGTTTAATACGGCTACTCTATTCTTAAAAGAATTTCAGCCAATCTTTGGTCTCTTGCTTGCATGAGAGAGATACATTGGTAGAATGCTGGCAACTGAATTTCTAACTTCTTAGCAGCCTAAAATTAGAACTGGAATGAATTTAAGTATTTCCAAAATTTGTCAATTTGGATGATGATGTATCACAATTGTTAGCAAAGGCTGGTCTCTAGCATTGAACTAACAGTTTGGTCATCTTTGCCATACCTCTCCCAGATGGTCCTGCACTGAGACTCCCTCACCCAGCTCAGGTCCCAGGCTTACCTCATCTGGTTCTTCCAGTAGAAAAGCCACTTACTTGTATGGGATGTGTTTGCTGCCATTGACGAGGGCCAGGATGACATTGCCCAGAGCAGACAGTGAGAGGCACAGCCCCGAGCCTCCATCTCGATTTTTGCTAAGGGCCTTCACACAGCTGCCGAGATCAATGAGATGCAGGCGACTGCGTCCTCCAGACACTACCATGGGAGCGAAGACAAGAGAGGAGAGAATGGGTGAGTTCTGGCAAGAGCTTGTGCATTCTGCATGTAGCTCTTCAGAAAATCTGAAGAAGGAAAAGGGGATGTAAAAGGCTGGAGTTCATGACGTTACAGGAAACCCCAACCAAGTCACATGGAGGTCACAGATAGCACTGAGCCTTTTAAATTCCATCCACCACATACCCCAGACCTTGTAAAAACTACTGACATTCATACTGTAATTATGTAGAAATTCCTAGCGGTTGAACTGGATGAGATTTCAGGAAAAGCAATATATAATTTAAAGAAGATAAGAGTCAGACCTAAATGTCCTCTAGGTAGTGGAAATCTGCAATTTATCAGGTGAAAGCCTGAATGGTTCATGAGCCGTTTGTTTATCATAAAAACCCCAGCCAAAGCGCAGCCAGAGCCAGGTTGATAACCCAAGGTAAAATCAGAAAGAAATAAGAGCCAGGGAAGTCCCAAATATTGGCTGACTAGCTGCCAATTGCCAGGTGCTACACAAACATCAGTCTCATTTCATTTCCATGGCAAAATTATAAGCTATTATTACCCTTTTTTATAGAGGAGAATGTAACCAAAGTTCAAACAAGTGGAGAAGTATTCCCAGGAACATCTCTGCTTTGGCCTCAATGAAATATGAGGAACTAAACTGATCTTCTTATCTGAAACAACCACAAACTGAAGAAACAACTGTTGTAAGACGCCAGACACCAGACACCAAAGGACTGGTGATCTCTAGGAGATGGGAACCAAAGCAAGGTAAACACTACCTGCATCACAGCAGGAATCTCCGCTTTCACAGAGTTTCTAAGCCAATGACTGAGGCACAGGGAATCAGGTGGAACTTGGTTGACACCCTGAACTGAAATAGAACTGAAAATCCGGGAAGACCAAGTTTTACAGGGTTGGAGAGAAGTCTGGAGATTTGCAGAGGGTCCTATTAGTGTTCAACCGAGTCATAATCAGGACAGGCTGAGGAGGAAACCTCCCACAGACAGGGAATGAACCCCTGAAGAGAGCAGTGGTAGGAGGATATGACACTTTCACAAGGCCAGGAATAATACCTGATACCAACAGCCAGACTGGAAGGCCTGGTAAAGGATACTGGATAAAGTACGCAGGCGGTTTTGCTACAGTAGTGGGGAAAATTTAGCCATAGCTGAGCACTGACCAGGTCTCACCTGAAAAATGTATATGTATATAATTTTTTGAGAGAGGGTCTCCCTATGTAGTTCAGGCTGGCCTTGAATTCACTATGTAGTCTAGTCTGGCCTCAAACTTACGGTGATCCTTGTGACCCAGACACCAGAGTGCTGGGATTATAGGGATAAGCTACCACATCTGGCTTCACCCAACAAATATTAAAAGCAAGATCAGGAAGGATCATATCATTTCCAAGCAACTCAACCACATGCCAAAACAAAATTTACTAAATATTTACAACTCCCAACAAGGTAAATCCAAATGTCTGGTACCCGAATCAAAACTGCATGTGTTGCAGATTGAGAACTGACGGTCAATTTAAATATCAGCTAAACTGAGTCAGTGTGGTGCTGAGTGTAGTGGCCCACCCGAGGACTGTTGCCAGCATAAGAAGGAGACCTGGTGAGTAAGAATAGCACTGTATGTTTTCTTAAGTGTTTTGTGGTTTGGAGCCGCTGGTTTTCCTGGAGGAGCTTGTTGTACTGGCTTCCCTGACATGAACTCAGCAGTTATCATCAGAGGAGCTCAGCACTTTGTCACTGAGAATACCTCTGGTCCACTCTGGGGGAGATCTGGGGGACCTCCACTTTGGGGTCCTTTCTTTGAGCATTGCTTCCTGGCTCCAGAGGGGAAGATGTGTGCTGTTCAATTTCCAGGAGAAGCTTGTCATGCTGACTTCCTGATATGAACTTGGCTGTTCTCATCATCAGAGGAGCTTGGGACCTCGTTGTCCCTGAGGATGGATGTGGTATTTTGCGGGGAGCCCTGGTCCTTATTTTAAGCATCACTTTTTGGCTCTGGTGCAGAATCTCCAACCTACCAACACAGATCCTTCACCCCACTGGCCTAGACTTTCTAGCCTTCGCCACTGACCTTTGGGCCTTCCCAGCACAGATCCATGAAATAGACTTACATGAGTCATTGTCATGGGCTCTAGGCCTCCAGCTGGACTCATGGGGGGTACTGCCATGGGCTCTAGATCTTCAGCTGTACTCCTGCAGGGCACTGCTGTGGGATCCAGGCCCTTTGTTGGATTCATTAGGTCTTTAGTATGTGGGCAGATTTCCTGCATGTTCTTTGTATTTGATTCCTTGGGTGATCTTTATAAAAAATACTAAAAATCATGTGTCCTGTATGTAATTGTCTTATTCTCCTTGCAATCCCTAATTACAACAGTATGCTAACAAAGCAGGAAAATGAACCCCATGATGAAGAAATTACTGGAACTAAGAAAGAATGAGAATGGATGTCAGAATTGACAGAGAAGTTACTATCAATAAAACAGTTAACTAAAAAAGTTACTACAACTCTTCAAATGTTCAAAAGCAGACATATAAGATTCATAATTTTTAATTTTTTTTACTTTAAACAGAATAAAATCAAACAATGCAAAACAATAAAAACTAGTCAAAACAATGAAAGCGATCCAGAACTTCAAAAAAGAACAATTAAGAAATCAACAATGGCTACCATATTGTACCTTGTTGTCTTCAAAATAGCTGTCCATGCCATCAGACATAATAAAGTCAAACAAAATGAAACAATAAAGCCAATCAAAACAAAACAATGAAAGCATTACAGGACTTCAAAACCAGAGAGTAGGAAATCAGCAACAGCTGCCATATTATATCTTGTCCTCAGAATAGCTGCCACACCATCAGACATAGTAAAATCAAATAAAACAAGACAGAATAAAACCAGAACTAATAAAACTGTGAAAATTATACAGGAACTCAAAACAAGACAATAGGAAATTAACAACAGTTACCACCTTCCCTTTTGAGATGTTTCCTCACCTATCACTTTCACAATACTATTGTACATTTTGGATCCCACTCTTTTAGTTTTTTATGTTAGGGAGATAACATGATGTTCACCTATATGAGTCCAAATTTCACCCATGAGCATGATCCCAAGTTGCATCCATTTACCTACAGGAGCCTTGAGATTATCCTTTATAGTTAAGTAGATTTCCAGTGTATAAAAATACCATATCTTTCTTATCCATTTTACAGTTGACAAGCAAGCTACCCCTGCTTTTTTCTGGTTTCCTGTTGCATGGAACAATTGTTTTCACTCCTTTGATGTTCGGTCTATGAATTTGCTTTTGAGTTAAATGTGTTTCTTGTATAACACATATTAATGAATCTTGTCTCTTGATCCGCTCTCCCTGGGTTTCTTTTTATTGGTGAATTGAGTCCATGTACATTAATAGGTACAATCAGTGTGCATTGGCTCAACTCTGCCATGCTATCCTCTTGCTATTGGCCTCCCACTTTTCCCCTCTATTCAGTTGCCTCCCCTGTTTGGCAATCCCCTTTGCTGCTCTACCTGAAATCATGGTCTTTACCGCTCTCTAGAATATCCTTGAGCACTCTTTGTAGGGTTGGTTTGGTGGTCATGAATTCCTTCAGTTGCTCTTTATCATGGAAGTATCTTACTTTTCCATCAATTTTGAATGGTAGTGTTGCAGGTTTGGAAGTTGTTTTCTTTCAGGATCTGAAACACTTCACTCCAAACTCTTCTTGACTTGATGGTTTGTGTTGAGAAGTCTGTCATGATTCTGATGGGTTTTCCTTTATAGGTGATCTCTTTCTTTTCTCAGTCTTTAATATTCTGTTCTTGTACTGAATTTCTGGGACTTTGATTATTGTATGTCTGGGTATAGATTTATTTTGGTTAGGCTAATTGGAGTTCTGTATCCCTCGTTTATCTGTATTCCAGATCCTTTCCCCTTTTTATTACATCTGTAAATAGTCTTTTTATGTCATTTGTGTTGACCCTCCCTCCACCTTTTCATTGACATGTATCACTCTTAATTTTTTACATGTGTTGTCTTGCAGCCATTGAATTCTCATTTCTTGGCTCCTTTTCCTTTTAAGAAATCTTTCCTTACAGGACCACTAGCTACAATCCTGTCTTCAAGGTCTGAAAGTCTATCTTCAGTCTCTTTCTAGTGGTTTTGCCAGCTTTTGATGAAGTTTTTAATTTCCTGGATATCCTCGAATATTTTTCATGCATTGTAGTTCTTTCCTATATTATTCATTCAAGATTTTCATCATTTTCCTATGCTCCTCCTTTTTTCTATGTCTTCTTTAGATATGCTCAGCAATTCTTTCACTGTTTGTGATTTCTTCATTTACTTGAGATATTATTGCTGATTTGATTACTTGTACAGCCGTATGAAATAGTTTCTTTAGTTGCTATCCTTAGAAAGATTTTAGGTTAACTTAAATTAACTTCCATTTTCCTCCATGTCTGTATCTCCCAGGCTTGTTCTATGTGAGTTGGAGGTCTGAGATTGCCTTTTGCTCCTTTGTCTTGACATTTTCCTGGGTTCCTCCTGACAAGCCAGTTGTGGGGTCCCAGGTGCTTACTGTGTTGGCTGCCCCTCTGCGGTGCAAGGGAATGGGCCAGGTGCTAGGTTTCTCTGAACCCAGATTTCCAGGAGGCAATGGGGTATGGGACAGACTTTTCCAGACCTGTGTAGTTACACTGAGGCTTCTCTGATGGCCATGAGTGCGTGGTGGTAGGGCTGCTTCTTCTCTCAGCCTGTGTGGCTATGCCAGGACTCCTCAGATGGCAGGAGGCAGTTGGGGGTGTGTTTGTCTGATTCTCCCAGCCGCACTAGCTGCCTGTGGGAAGCAAGTGCCTCTAATGGTAACCTGTGGGCGCATGGGGCGTTTCTGGCCCTTTCTCCCTGCCTGCACTGGTTACCTGAGGGAAGTAAGCATCCTGATGGTGGTGGGCATGCAGGGCAGGTCTAGCTGTTT